CCCTGCTGCTTAGGAGCAAGTTTGCGCCCAGTTACCCATCTACATGTGCCATGTGGTGCAGTAAGGAATCATGAGTAAATTTGCTACTTGTATATCCAGGTAGCAAATTTACTTGCAATTAGAGCCAGTTACTCTGCAGTGAGTGTCTAAATGTGTAGACGGTGACACTTACTGAATGGTAATTAGCTCTAATCATGATTAAAGTGCCTCATGTAAACATGCCCAGCATGTTACAAACCATTGTACAGCACAGCAATGACATGCTGTGGTTTCACCTGTTAACCACTGGTAGCTAGGGCCATGCAAACTCATTTTGAGTTGAATACTACGAGGTTAAACGCATGTTTTAAAACTTACGGAGAAGCAACTTTGAAGCCAACATAAAAGGGAGAGAGAGAGAGAGAGAGAGAGGAGAGAGATTTTCTATTTATATGTCCAAAATAGAAGGAAGTGCAAGAATGTTATTTCTTCATATTATCATAAATTATAAAAATACTCAAAAATAAAAATTGGACACAGAAAAAAGTGTCCCTGGCCCTGAGATACAAGAGAGATGGCATCATGCTACCTAACAACTTATTACTGGATCAGTAATGGATTCAGGAGGGGCTCACGCTCCAAAACAAGGTGAAATCCCACCTTGAATGGAACTTCCCATTTCTGACAGATACCTAATGTGTCTGCCTTTCTCTTTAGTGTCTGACAATGTTTGCATAACTTGTGCCAGTAAACATACTGAATAGCATCTAGCTACTGTGCATTGAATAGAAAAGTTATTTGCAAATTAAAAAATGTCTGTAAATAGCATGAATCAGTTTTAAAAAAAACATTCAAGTACAGAATATTAACAACACTCTTCCTTTGGATTACGGTCAAACTGGTTTGAATTTTAGACCTACTCATCTTGAACCTAAAACTGTTCCCAAATGATAAAGATTGTGCAAGGCCACTTAGGTGACTATTACCTTAATGATATTATTTATAAGCAAATTAAGTAAGTTGCTTTTGGGCAACCAGTTTCCCAGATGAAAATCATATCAACAGAAGTGGGTACTTGCAATGGCAAGGAACAGAAAGAGGTTCTTTCCACTTGTTGATACACTTTGCAAGGTCTTATCTCTTGTACCAATGTTTTCCTGCAGCCTTGTGCAGTGTATGAAGTAGCAGCCCTGACACTGGACACCAACAAGCACAAACAAACAAATTCTGGAACCACATCTCTCGTTTCATTTGTTTGTACTAATTACGTTTACACTGCCAGAAACTGCTTCTGCAGATACCTGTCCCTGCTTCTCCTGTGTCTCACTAAAAACTGTGAAAAGCTCAGGTCTTATAAGCATCAAGGGTATGAGTCTGTTCTATGCCTGAGGCCCCTGCTATGTATTACAGGTATCGCATAATTAACTGGTTAATTCTGCAATTATCTTGAGAACAGCTACATGTGCAAAGTACCTATCATACCATAAAAAGCTCCCACCAGCTATAAAGTTAGACCTTGGAAATATGTACTGACTTTATAGCTGGTTGCTATCAAGCTTTAATTTGCATGTGTAGCAGGGTCTCTCCTGTGGCTGGTTTCATGCACCCCTGAGCAGATCGGAGTTAGACCGATCCTCTCAATCCAACAGATGCTAGCTGTTGGATAAGGAAAGTGGAGGATCGGCTCCAATTTGGAGCCAATCCAGGGAGAGAGGGCTCTTCCCCCCTGGCTCTTCCCCTGCATCCCTTCTTCCCCTGGCTTTGCCCTGACTCTCTCAGTTCTGTTGCTGTCTCTGGATGGGAGCAGGGAGAAGGAAAGGAAGGGGGTTTTCTGGGCCCCACTCCAGTGAGCTAAGAGACCTCTCTCCCAGAAGAGATCTCCCTCCCCTGCCTTCTCCCCCTCTCATCCAAAGACAGCCGCTTGGGCCAGGCTGCTGTTGCAGCTGGAGCAGACAGAAATTAATGAAGTTGCTCCAGTTAGGAGTGTCTTCATTTGAACCCTCATACAATGAGGGTTATTTTGTCACATGATCAGAGGATTCTGCAGCCATGCTCTTCTGTTCAGCCAGGGCTTTAGAGTGCTTTCAAGGGGCCAATCACGCAACAAATATCATTTCTGTCTGTGTCCTATATGTAGTGATAAAGGAAATAATATTCTATAATGCTTTCATGGGCAAGTGCTTTTTTTTGGTGTACTGGCATGGTGTTTTACATGATTAATTTTACCAGTTGTGGGTTCCAAGTTAAGAACTCTATTCTGAAGTCTTTACTCGGGCAACTGAGCCATTAACTCCAGTGGGAGACTTTTCCAACCAAGGACTGCAGAATCAGGCCATACCAGAGCGTCAGTGTTGAACTGACTTAATTACAGTGTTTAAATCAGCTCATTAGAGACTTCATGTTATGTTAAGACAATAATACCATGATTAATTCTTGTAAAAAAATGATACTTTTGTGAGAATTAGACTTATAACTCCCATGCATGTCATCTCCAAAAGTAGAACTGGTCAAAAACTACTAAAAATGTATTTTTAGGGAAAAAAGTAATTTTCACTGTTATTTTTCATGGAATTAAAAAAAAAAAATTACTGGATGAAGATTTTCCTTTAAGTTTTTTAAAAAAAATCACAGCCAAATGGCACTCAATTTTCCCTGTTTTTCTCCTCTCTATTGTTCTACTGTCCCCTACTTTTCTGAACTTCCACATTTTCCAACAGAAGACTTTTGAAGCTGTAAACCAAGCACAATTGTGAATGAATAAATATAAAGAATGTAATTTAAAAGTGGAAATGCAGCCCATCTATAATACATTACATTGCAGACAGAGCTGAATTAAACTATCCCAATGGATTCGTGTTTGGAAACACTTCTTTAAAACAGGAAGACCCGTAACTACAAGATTTACAACTGAGCTGAGGGATTGCTTTAGTAAGTTTGCTGATGAAAGCTGCATAAACAGAGAGCAGGAAAGGTAGAGGGCAGTGGCAGCAGCAGATATATATAGGTCTTGGGAAGGTATGTGAGAGAGGGTCAGACTATAGAAAGAACATGAATAGTCAGTGTTGTCCCACAGACTTGGGTCCTTCAGAGTTGAGACCAATTAGCTAAGTAGACTTGGAATCAGTTTAGCAAACACTGAAACTAAACCTATTTAAAACATTAAGATAAAGGCTAAAGGTCTATCTAAGTACAACAGCCTATTCAGCTACTGTGATTAAAACACACCAGTTTTTATAATCAGTAGCTTACATTGTTGTGACATGGTTGGCATCACGTCTAGGGACCTACCAAATTCAGGAAGTGGCCTGTGCAGCAAATCCTTTAATTTTGCAGGTTCCCCATTGTGCCAACACCCTTCTGGCTGGCAGAGGGGTCCCACTGCTCACTCCTGATCAGCAGGGAGGTGAAAACTGCAATTTTAAACATGGCACTGTTTTTGCCTTCCAGCCGGTCAGCAGAAAGTAGCAGGGGCACCAGGACCACTCAGCCAATCAGCAACGGGGGAGGGGGGGGTTACACAGGGGAACCTGTAAGATTAAAAGAGCTGCCATGTAGTCTGCCATGAATTCGGTAGGTCCTTAATCATGTCTGACTGCCTTTGACTTCCCAGCTCAAATGACCAGGTACCTATTTACAGCTTGGTTAACTGGAGGTTGGAAACTCATGCCTCCAGAGCCAGAGTGAGATGCCTGAGCTGCTTCAACATCCCTTCAAGAACAGCAGCTGATGGATGAGGGAATCAACAAGGACTATCTGTTTTTCCAAGAGGGGTTTAGCACATGACTTGATGATGGCCCATATGTGTCTACACCAGAGTTGCTCAACTCATAGCCCACAGATCTAGCCCCCAGAACTGTATTATGCAGTGGGGAGCCCTGTGGGCTGCAATCCTGCACACTACATCAGGCATGCAGGGCAGTGCAGGCCCAGGCAGAAGCAAGAGGTCTTCAATGTAGCAGACAAAGGCATAATAAGATCCAGGGTCTGAAATTACTGGAATTCAGATTAGAAACAAAACTCAGCTCTTTAAAAAGCAAGACTACCTGACCATTAAAACAAATATTAAAATAAAAATCAATATATTGTTTATCTTTTTGAGCAGTGGAGCTCAACCTTTCAGGGTGGTGGACCAGGTACTTTTGACCTGGCTACACAACCAGCCACCATTCCCCTCTTGTAGAGACGGGGTGAAGGGAGAGAGGAGGGTATAAGGTATCTGCCAATATCAGAGGGAGGTGGATGGAAAGAAGGATGCAGAGAGTGAGGAAGAGAGCAGAAAGCGGAGGGCTGCACAGGGAGAATCAGCAGCACTGCACAAGACAGGGAAGGGGATTTGCCAGGCCAAGCTGCTTATTGATGAAACCCTGTGCCACAGGCTGTGTCCAGTCTCTTCGGCTAGGGACAGACATTCAAAAAGCCCAAGCCTGAATTGATTCAATCTTTGCAGGTTAGTCTGAGCTGCACAGCTTAAACTTATTAATAACTGGACAGACATTCTCTGTTAAATCAGGATATGCAGCCACATGCCTCCAGTGACTCAAGCCAGAAGCTGAGGGAGGGGGAGGGGGTGACATGCAATAGAGCATGCCTGCCAGCCACTACCAAAGGGGAGGGAAGAGAGACACCAGCAGGGAGAGGTGAGAGCCTTGGAGGGAGTGGAGGGGGCATGGCCAGGCACCAGCCCAGGCTAGCACGACACATGGGATGCCAGCCACCAGTCAGGGCGGGGGTGGAGGAAGCTGCTGCCAGACTGAATGGGGTGGGGAAAAAAGTCCTTTTTCTGAAGCAAGCATGTATTGAACACAGCAATTTGCAACCTCAAGCATACAACAGGGAACCACCAAAAATCTTTGCCTAAGCTAAGATACAGCCCAGTAAAACACAGCATACACAACTTAGTCTAACTTAACACGTAAAGCAGGAAGACAAGAGAAACCTTTGCATAAGTCTTACATGATCCTAAGGGCAGAGTGTCTCTTTACAGCCAGGCATTCAGCAAGGCTTTGTTTAAGTATTCCCACCTTTTACAGGTTCTGCTTGATAATGTAAATGTAGTTCTCTGCAGTCTTTGGTGAAGCTGTCTGCAACACTCTCCTGTTCCCTTAACTCCCATCTCCAGCACATGTGCATAATGACTGTCAGGTCTTTGCCAACACCTCCCATCTCTCAATCTGGTCCTGCAGGGCGTGGCTCTGGGCTCACAGGTGCAGGGCTGGGATCTGAACACAGGGGACTAGCTTGTCTCTCTCCCCACCCTCCGGGACCACCGTGGAATTAACCCCTTCCTGCCTGGCTGCAGGCAAGCTGCAGAGACTGCAGCCAAACCCTTGAGGGTTCCAGGGGAGAGAGGGGACAGAGGGAGGAATTAATTGTCTCCCTACCTGGCTGCAGTCCACAGGGTTTGCCAGCAGGGCAAGAAGGGATGGAGGGAGGAACTTACCTCAGGGGTCCTGGCAGGCCAGCATCTGGCCACACCCCACCCCTATTCTGGCTACAGAGTACAGAGGAGGCACCAGCCCCGCTCTCTGGAGCAGAGAGCAGAGCCCTGCCCAGGGCTGCAAAGCATCTGGGATGCTGGGGGAATCTAGTTTAACTTAAACCAGGAAGGGGTCTGGGACAGATGTTGCATAAACCGGTTTAACCAAAATCAGTTAAATCTGATACTACATTCAACCTTGTTTATCTAAAACCAGTTTCAGCCATTTTCAAAATAGTTTGTGCGCACTGAACATCTGTTCTGTTACAGATTTAAACCAGTTTGCGATCACTTAAACCGGTTTATGTGTAATGTCTGTCCCTAGCCTTCAGTGACTGGATAAAGCCTGTGGGCCATAGGGTGAGCACCACTATGTTCAAGTGAGTCAAGGTTAATCAGAAGTTTATGGGCTTGATGTAGGAATGGGTAAAATTGTACAACTTGTTTTATGCCTAATGGCCTAGAGACTATAATGGATCTTTCTGGCCTTAAAACAGATGGATTTCAATCAAGTGCATGAAGATTTAACCATATGTTCTGGTTAAAAATCAAATGAGCATCACCTGCAAACATTTTTTTAAGCACTGAACACTTACCACAGGTCTGAGTTTTGGGTTCATACACAACTCCTTGGAGACAAAACAAAATAAAAAGGGGCAGATCCTCTACTGGTAGAAGGTAGAATAGTACCATTCATTAAAGCAGACCTTTTCCCAATCTTTGCAAGCCTTGTGACATATCCCTCTTGATTAGCATTTGCTTGCTCTGCTGCCTTGTTATTTTTCCTGTGTTCATTAAAGCTCACTGCTGTTTTGTTTGTCAGGAAAAAAAGTCTCTATCAAACCTGACATTCTGGTTAAGTACTGGTCTCAGACAACAAGGAACTATATTAGCTATTTCCTGTTTTTTTAGTTCAAGGAGTAACATATAAAAATGGAAATCTTTCCATGAGTGAAAAAAATAGCAAGTGGTATATCTACTGTTAAACATAACATTAACGTGCCAGCAACCGTTTGGGGCACATTTTATTACCGCATAAGCTCATCTAGGCTGAATATGCCAATAGCATCCATGGCATACCCCTTGAGGCAACTGGCAATGCTTGAATTTTGAGCCTATACCTTTGAGAGAACGTGAAGCTAGGATGACCCCAGGCAGCTCTGCTTTGCTGAGCATTGTGAAGTGGCATCTCCCCAATGTTAGTGTCTTCCTATCATAATCCTTCTGCACAACCCTGAGGCTACCATTGAGGCTACAAGACTACCTTGAAGGGCAGTATGTGACTGGAGAGGTTTTTAAAAAGAAAACTTCACGTCATTCTCTTAATGTCATTTCCTCTCCACACTTAGAGATACATAAAGCACCATGTATTATATAAAACCACAAATGAGCTAGCTTTCTGCACCTTAAAAGTGACCACGTCAAAGATATCCTCTTTGGCCCTGGTGCTGTTTTGTGATTTTCTTTCCTAAACAGTAGTCCCTATTAGGGTTTGCAGCAGAAATAAACTTCCCTTGAAATATAGTGCTTTGGACTAGATTGTTTCCTTGCACAACTCCTTTTCTTACCAATTACTGGATCTTTTTGTTTAAAAGGGATATTTTGGATCCAGGATTATACATTTCCTCCTATCTTTACTCTGTTTTTTTCTAGAGTCCTTCCCTACTTCAGGGCTAGCTGGAAAGTATATTTTAGTGTCACTATCGATTTTATTTCATTATGCCTCTTTCCCATTCTACCACTGTAACATGCTCTATTAAATCTTTAAATGATCCTAGAACATAGAGTGTATTACTCATATACTCCTTGCTATCACAGAGAACATAGATTATGCTGAAGAATACAGTAAGTGGACACCATCAGAATTAGCCATTTAGTAGTCAGATTTATTTATATTTATTTCTAAGTAAAGACAGTAGTACGATATGACAACCTGATGATACATGTAACAACACTGATGCTATGCTCTTTATTAAAATGACCAATTTTAAATGTGTTTATTAAAATATAAAGTATATTTTTATTATTTAAATTAGAACCACATGCTGACCCTTGCATCTGTCATTGACTTTAAATGCAATGTCTGAAAATTATGCTGGTGTTTTGGTGGGTTTAATTTAAACCTGAGATTTTGCCCCTTTGCTGAACTGTGTTAATAGCTTTATTTTTTGAAGGAAGAGCAAGAGAAATGAGGTTTGCAGAGATCACTCATGTCAGCTAGACAATAAACCCAAATAGAAGGGTTTTTCCCCAGTTAGAATATAGCTTAGCTAAAAAAAGATGTTAATAGCAGCTGGAATACAGCCTCCCTAAAAAAGCTAAATGGGGTTGTGGAGAAAAGACAGGAAAAGAGTGATTTGAAGTATTAACACACATTTTCTCTGCTCCTATTTTTTGTGAGAAAGCCATTGAAGTCTGAAATTCATTACTGGGAGAATTCTAAAAGGCAAGCCTCAAATTCTTTTGCAAGGAGGTGCTGGTACAAATAAGGATTCTTAAAGCACATTTATGAGCATCCTGACAACTGGTGTATCAGTGCTTTTGGACAGCCATTTTCCACTACCATGTGAGAAATCTAAGTAACATTCTTATGTTTGTTTTTAAGGTCATTAAGCCTACAAAGGCCAGGTAAATCTATGCAGCTCACCTGCTTATTGTGGAAAGGAGCTGGGAGACCAGTGGAGACACTTCTGCTTTAAGAGATGTGAGACAATGGAGAAAAGGTCCTCTTCTAAATAAACATACAGGAATTTTTCATTGACCATCTATCAGAGGGTGCCACTGAACTGAGAAGGAGGGAAGCATATTGCTAGCTTTCTGAAACCTCATTCCAAAGATCAAGTCATCTGGTATTGCTGTGCTGTGAGGTATGCAACCACCATTGTTTGCACAACTATCTTATGTTAAGGTATTGCAGACTAGGAGTTCTTTCTGGGTGGCTCCTCATTTGTTTCCCCAAGAAAAAGATAAATGACATAATCAGTGTATGACTTCTTTCCCTGTAGAATAAGCATAATAATCTCATTCAAAGACCAAACATGTCAGGCATCAAGGCATGATCATCCATCAGGTAATGGCATTCTCTGATGTCCTTGGCATTGCATGACAGATGTCACAGATGTCATAAAGTATATCATATCGTCTTGCTACATGGCATTGCTACAACAGCAGCTTCTTGCACTAACTTTCAACATTCCAATTCCCACGTGACATCCTGTCAGTAACTTCTAATAGCTGTAAAATGTCTCTTCATAAGAATAAATATGGGGGATAGAAACTGTAAAACTAGGATCTTTTATGTATGCTACAGAAGGAAGAAAAAAGGATGCCATGTCAGCTAAAAAACACCACCTGGCAGGAATGGTGCCATGACATCCTTTTGCAGTCACATGTCACTGGGACTGGAAGACCACAGCAAAAAAAATCTGCGTTCTCTGAGGTGGAATGGATTTGTAAGAAAGTGCAGAGCAATGAATGTAGTATGAAAAAGATGACCCTAAATCCAAACAACAAAACATCTGATAATTAAAAAATGGAAATGAAAGTGAGAGGTGACTTGCTACCACCTGATTTTACTCCAGCAGAGGTGTGGGCAGTGGCTGAAGTAGAGTCATAAATCTAAAGGAGCAAACATGGAAAGCAAATCCTATCCAAGCCACAAAACTGTAGGAGCTCCTCTCCTCTTTTTGGTCTTCTTTATTTTAGTTCCTGGTTATGGAGCTATCACAGACCAGGAAAACAGAAACTGCCACATTAGATCAGACCCATAACAAAGCATCCTGTTTCTGATGAAAATACGAGAACCAAAAGAAAGTTGTCCAATAACATATCCCTCATGTAGGCCTCATTTTGATCTCTTCCAGCAGTTGGCTTAAGACCTGATGTGTGAGGTCCAATGTTACCTCCAAACATTTCTTTATTAATTATAGTAACAGTATATTTTTATTGATATGGATATATTAATATCAATATAACTGCACAGCTCTTTGAGGACCCTAGAAGCCACAGAGATGGCAAAAAGAATGGGAGAAAAAATACCCTGAAATACCGATAGTTTCAAGATGGGTCTTAATCAGTACTGGGGGCACTGGGAATAGCTTTGATACTGGTTTGACTGGCAGATTAACATTTAAAACACAAATAAACCAGCAAACCCCACACCTTGCAAAACAATTACATGTTTATAAAGGCAGGGCTGGAGGAGCCATAACTTGGGTTGTAAATTACAAACTCAATGAACCAATTACATCAGAGCCTCTCTGGCCCTTGCAACATGAAAAGATTAATCATCATAATTCCATTTTGAAAACAGAAGAGCAACAAATACAGACACGTGAGAATTAAATTGTCAATCCAAACTCTTCTTACGACTGCTGAAAAGGTAATTTAAAGCCTTGCACAATCAATCAATTTAGATTCATGCTGAACTTAACAATTCAATCTAATTCCAGTTCTTGTATTTTTTTGTGGTAACCAGTACCTCTGACTCTGCCTGATGCATCAGAGTATATAAATAAGGCCCTGCTCAACAGAGATTGCAATAAGAGATGAGACCAGATATTCTATTTCC